CCCTTGTGCTTGGAACGCAACATCTACAGGCTGATCGGGGTCGTCACCGGCCCCTTGTGCTTGGTACTCTTGGGGCATTGAGGAGCCCAGGGAGGAGGACGTGCTGCCCGCGAGAGGAGGACTGCTGCTGCTGGCAGGGGGAGCGGGAGGGTCATCGTTCTCTATACACACGTCCATATCATTACCGGCGTCATCGTCATCTCCTCCGCACTCTTGTAGGAGTAGATGGAGAGACATACGGCGCTTGCGTGGTGATGTTGCTGTGTTGTTGCTGTGTTGTGTTGTGGTGTTGTGTGAGGTGTTGTGTCGTGTTTTGTGTCAAATTGGGTTTGTGGGTGTGTGGTTCTGGAGGCGTTGGTCGTGCAAATAGCGGTTGCCCTCTGACCCCCGTCGGCTGTAGGTTATGAAAATGAAACCGTCGGACATCTGTATCCTAAGCACGACTACACACAATGAGCGGCGGAAAACACACATAGGCCAATGCGTACAGTGCTTAGAGCAGCAGCACTGCGTATTGCGTACTTCCATGTGATGCTGCTTTGTACGGCCCGGGGCTCATCACCCCTTCGCACGTAAGGAGTGAGCGGTATTTTCGAGCGTTATAGACTAGCCCTCCACGGCGGTCGTGGCTATGGTCGTACCGCGGCCCACCCTTTTGCTCGAAAATGATATCTTGGGGCTCAACGACGAAGTTCATGTAGAGTGGGAACGAACGGCACGAGCCCGCTCGAGCCCCGCACAAGGTCGTTCGAGTTCCGCTAACGCTCGGTATCTGGGAGGCGACTCGCCATACCGCCAAAGGTGAGTACGCTCCCAGAATATGGTGCTGCTGTTGGTGCAAACAATGAGCTCTCATTGTTGCTACCGTGTTCAGTACCAAACCGAAAACGTGGACGTGTGTCCAATATTGGCTGCTGTGCGCGGGGTCGTGGTGAGAGCTGTCATCGATGCCATGATATCCTAAATAACAAGCTGCTCATGAAACTCTTACACGAATATTGAGCTCGTGCTCGATTTAAAACGCGGTGTTCGACGGGATGGGTATGCGCAGAGAGGGCACTTTGCCACCCTCACCCTCCTTCATCGATCGTACGATGGATCGTGGCGCTTGAATGCCGTTGTACACTAGATAGACTACATATCATGTCTCGATGTGGGTCGAGCAGGTCTTCAGGTCTGGTTCTTCTCCGCCTGCTGTAACCCGTAAGTCATCTGCAAAACCATTCGTTAGACGTCGCTCACCTCTACCCTGCCACAAGATGTAGGTACGCTGCCGTACAGTGGGGGTCCCCGAAAAAAAGGCGGTGATGGGGCAGCGCATATTGACCGCCTCATACATATGGGGCAGTCGCCTGATTCATAATGTAGAACAGCTTCAATGTTCTGTCTGTGCCATACAAGCTCACCCGCCAAATATAGAGCGATCGCCTTATGCAGATCGCCTTATTATTCGGGAACCCCACTGCACCCGGTCGCCCCGGTAGTCTAGTGGTGTCCTCGTAAATAAACCGCTAGTCGCAGAGGTCGTGAGTTGTAATCCCCGTGGGCTGAAAAATGCAAGCTCTGCGGGTGAAAGCGAAATGTAGCTGAAAAGCTCTCGTGGGTTCCAAACTTCGACGTTAGCACCGTTGACGAGGGAAAGGGACGGCTGGACCCTTCTAGCGATAAAATATAGTAATATGTAGCACGCACCGCAGGAGGAAGGTGGGGCATGAAAGAAAAAAAAAGAAAAAAGCCCTGGTGTTTACCCCCTGCTGTGTGATCCTGGATGGTTGTAGTTGTACGAAAAATACACTGAAAAAGTGTAGTACTCTACATACGCTGAAACAGTGTAGTACACGTCTCACTACGAAAAATGGGGGGGCCGTCGCCATAATAAATAGGACGGAAACACACACTGTACTGCACATTCCCTCACACCACCCCACTCACATGAAACATCTCCCAGCGTCGAGGAAAATACATTGTTGGTGCAAATGTTTATGTACGTAAAGGCTTCTTGGTCATGGCGATAATTCAAACTCAACGACCAACGATTGGCCTGTGGAGGCAGCATCATCATCACCATCATCAGCTGCAGCAGCAGCAGCAACAGCAGTTGCAAGAACGGCCATTCTTACATCCGCCGCATATTGTTGGGATACAACCTTTCTCTGTGTGCTCGACATACCACACAAACGCACGCCGACCACAACATGAGCTACGTGTTGCCGCATGCACCAAACATAAGCGCTCGAATCGCCACGGGTCGGGCCTGACCACCACCAATGTATTTCCATCACCGCGACTGCCTCGTCCCTCAGATGCAACAGCATTGTCTCGCACAGGACCAATTTAAATGTTTCGGCTGGGCGAAAGGAAAACCCGCGTCGAACCGCCGTTCATGCGCTGAATGCCATCGAAGCCGCATTCACCGCTGCCAGTGGAGACGCGAAATCAACCGCCAACATGCCTCTTGGTCCAGCAGGGAACATCATGAGTCGGAACGGCCATGATGGAGGCGAGCTGCCCCCCAGATCGAAGCCGACCGCGGCACCAGCATCGCCACCAAAAAGTAGTTACCCTTCCCGCGAGGAAAGGCTGACGCTTGTAGACCGACGACCTCGCTCATCAAATCGTTGCACACCGGATACCGAAGGTAGTAGAGGCCTTGCGGTCGACAAAATGACACTTGGCCGATCGTTTCTGACCCGGACATTTCCGGAGGGAACGATAAGTAGGGCGGAGCGGGAACGGAGCGAGTCCAACGACCACCACCGGGAAGAAGAGGGCATGGCAGCGTCGACGGGTGCTTTGAGGTACGTCCCCACAACCACTTACTTACGGCGCCATGTTCCTTGAGTCGGACGGACAAACTCAGGGCCCGAGCACACGTTCTCTGCGAACGTTTTGTAGGACCCCGTAGTTCCTACTCAACGTGATCTGAAAACACCTTGAATAGTGAAACACGTTCTAGCCGCCACATCTAGCAGCTGTCTTGCTAGAGCAACGATTGGCGTGCGGTAGCTTGCGATGTGAAGCTTCAGGAGGCAGTGGCAGAGGACGCATATGCTTTACTGGCCTTGGGGTTGCCTTTCCTACCTCTTGTCGTGCAAGTATTTCGTCGCAGACAGAATGGGCTGAACAAAATAAGCCCCCTCCCTGCCTCTTCTTCACAGGAGGACCGCACCACCCCAAAGTTCTCGAAGTTATCTCCGATCACCACGTCCATCTGAGCGACACCACCGTTCCACTCCACCACGCCGCAACCTTGACCTTGATCAGCTTTCCGGGCTTCAGAGAGGCATAAACGATGCGTAGATAAGCATTGATGACCTAGTTTGAGAGCTGTCCACGCTTTCCGCGTGCAACTGTGCTTCTTGGGTGTATGCATAAGATACAAAACCGCTTGCACGCACGATTGTCCTTCGGTGCCGTTGATGCAGGCGAGCTTCTGTTGAGCTCCAGAGACATGTGGACGAAGTGATGGGTATGGTGTGTAGGCTCCACAGCCGGCTCTCTGACGCGGCCTGCTGGACGAAGAACTTGCAGGAAGACACTCGAGCGTCCAGGCGAAAGGTCGCCGATCTGATAGACCAGGTAAATCTACCTTTGCTTCCTCCGATTTGGCTGGTGGCAGCAACCTGTGCCGTATGCATCGACCCATGTAAATCATGTGCTTGTTGCGTTCATACAATCGTCCTGACTCGGTGTGCTTCAACGACTTGATAGCAGAGTCTAACAGAAAGGATACATGGTAGTCATTGGATCAACATCTTCCTGCCAAGTCGGTGTTGTGCTGTTTCCCCTGTGACCTTGCTCGTGATTGCAAGGGAATAATCTCCATCCTAGGGGTGCCAGAAGCAGCGTAGAATTACGGTGCAAAGCCTGGTTGTATCAGGTATTGCCACGAGCATCGCACTACAGGTAGAAGATTGTTTCCCACTATGAGCAACCTACGGCTCACGCAACAGTGATGCCAACATATCACCTTCTCTTCTGCTGTGTCCGCCTCCCGCTCCCGCCTACTTCTTTGCCTTCCAGGTGCAACATCTGTCTGAAGGAACGCTGCTGCCCATCACCGGCACCCATGAATCGTGGCTACGGATCATCTCGGGCACCGACACGCATGATCCCGGCAGCCACATTGGCCAGCCAGCAGCGACAAGACTTTCTCGCCGCAACGATGCAGAAAGAGACGACGATCGCTTTGAACCTAACGGTGATGTTGGAGTGAGAGGCCAAGAGATAAACGGAAGCACTATCAGCGAAACATGCGAGGGTAGGATATCTCGAGACGTCTCGCCTTTGGCGTCTCGCCCCGGCTCACCCGCATCGTGGCGGTCTAGTTCGGCTTCAGTTTCGTCTCAGTCTGGCAGCAAGTCGCGATCATCTAGACCTGGGTCGCCTTTCTCGCAAGAGAGTTGTTGCGGCAGCATGGCCCCGATGTATTCTCCTGCTTTTCCCGCTGCCGCGTCTGCAGCTGCCGCTACCGTCGACCGTGCCGCTGTTGAAGTCGATGCTGACACGGGTGTCGGTGGTGAAACGGGTACGGCAGCGGAGATCGACGAGGGGAAGTATTGTCCTGGAGACCGTGGTGGCGATGGCACTAGTTCTACTCGCCAGAGAAGAGAGACTAAAGCAATGGGCTCCAAAGAATCCGAAACGAATATCGGGAAGGGTCGTGAGCAACGGACGCTGGCGCGTCGTGATGACGGAAAGCTGGCCGCTAACATTGCAACACGCGGCGTCGAGAGAATTGGGGACGTGTCCGAGCAACGCGGAGCAGCGGCGCAGCAGCTGCCCAAAGTTATCTACGGGAGCAAGAGGAGGGGGAAACGACGATCGAGGTCGAGAAGGAGACGGGTGGAGTCAACTGCCGACGCCATCGATGACGGTGGTGACAGGGACGGCGGCGGCAGGGGCAGCGACACAAAGGGAGGCCGAGAGACTGCGCAAGCCTTGTCAACCCCAAGCAGCCCTCGAAATGATGGTGGTGGCGGCACGAGCTCACTTTCGTCCCCGCCCAGCGGTAGGGACAATCAGCGCGAACGAGGAGTGTCGCCGTCCTCGAGATCTGGCAGTCCACCGCGCGGACGCCGTCACCGTCGGGGTAGAAGGGCTAAACGACGCGATCGGGGTGACGGCAGCACCAACAACGACAGGAGGGTCGAACGGCAAGCGGGGGTCGAAATAGCCGTGGCATCCAAGGCGGGGGAGAAGAAGGAGGCTGTTCGTGATGGTGACGGTGGAGGTGCTGGTGATGGCAGGTGCGACAAGGACAATAGTCTGGCCGAGGAAGGCGTGTTAGCGGAGGACGGCGTCGGCCCGGACCCGACGGAAGCCGGGTACATGCTTCAGACTCTCGCTGGACTATCTAAAACGCTGCGGCGACTGAGTTGTGCGGAGGACAACACATTAGTCCCTGGCAACCCTGATCCCGTACGTACTGCAGAAGAGGTGGGAGGTGACGGAGGACGGGGCGATATCCTTCCCGCGTGTGAACGCTGCGTAGTTCTCTCTGAGAGCTTGGAATCCTTGCGCGAGCGGGCCCGGGCACAGGAGCGTCTCCTGGAACATTCTGAGAAACTTCTGACGGCGGCCACGACGACAGCGGCGTCATTTGACGCCCGTATACACTCAGCGGGGCAACGAGATGAGTCGTGTCCGACCGCAGACGCTGGTGGCGACGGCCCGATAGCATTAGGCCCTGGAGCGTCAGCAGACCCAACAACCCCAACCGGCGTTGCAGCGGATGTTGCACCCGTAGGCCAAGTAGAGCCTGCCATCAGGCCCGCGGAGAACGAAGACGTTCCGCGGGACGAACAGCAGCCTGAGGAGGGCAGTGAACACCACGAATCAGCAGCAAGGGCGGGAGACGAGCACGGGGGGGCACGCGGAGCGGACGAAGAAAATGAGGAACTTCTCGCCGCTGCCGAGGAGGTCTGGAGAGTGTCGGAGATGGCGCGGAATGTGTTGCAGGGGGAGCTAGAGAGGAAGGACGAAGCTCTGTCCGCTGCGACCAAGACGGCGAGGGAATCCAAAGAAGCGCTGTCAAAACAGGTTTGGTGTCTCCTGTTTCACATATGGTTGGGGTTGCGTGGGAAGGTAACGTAATTTATGATGTTTGGCTTGTGTAAAGATTTTCGTGCGCCAAACCCCCTGTGTCGTTCGGCTGTTCACGAATTGGACATGAACATTTGTCTCCTTGTTGTACAATGCACGCGCACGCCATGCTGCTTTCGTGCAACAATGGGACGTTTAAGGAGGCTGCTAACGTCCAGCCCCGCCCTCGCAATATCACCCTCGTCATTCGTGGTAGAGGCAAGAAGTGGCTAGGTTGAACGACGCCGTGCGGAACCAGGAGAAGGAGACCGAGAAATGGAAGGCAGACGCTGAGAGGTCCATCGCCAAGGAAAAGGACACTCGACGAGCGATGGAGAGCGCCAAGGTTGCTGCGGCTGATGTCTTGCGAAGGTGCATCACGAGGCGTTATATATTCTCTACTGTGCTATTGGTCATGCGAGATCCTGATGTTTTTCCACAGGTATTATAATTCTGACCTTCGCTAAGCACGCACATATTCTGAAGTAACGGCGAGGGGGCAGCCCGCGTGCTGCAATTAGAAAAGTACGTAGAATAGCGATTTTGTTCCCGCCGTTTCGGGGCTTCTTTCCGAACGCCTACTAGTGTAGAGCTAGGAGCCTGATTTTGTTTCTCCATTTTTGTCCACCCTCTAACCCCAACAATCGTCGGTGGATCGCGTCAAGAGCAGAGCATCTCATGCGGTAGCCATTCCCTTCCCATTTCTGCCTTGAAGGATAGGCAGCAACGATACAACAATATTTTTGTAGGAAGGGCTTCAATAGCTGAGCCCATCACTCGATCAAGTACCTGATTCTAGACGAAAAGTGGCCGATACCAGTCTATGGCGCACCGATCAGCTGCGATGTCTTAGTGCCCTGGACAATTGGTGTGGTGAGAGGTAACGAAGTATTGAGAGAAGACGCCCTCCTCTTCCGCCAATCAAAAATGTCAGGTCGGGGAGGGAGAGGAAAGCGCTCATGGGTGAAGTGCACACCCTCAACGAGAAGATCACAGCCCTTCGAAGTCGCCTGGGGGGCGTACAGACGAGGCGGAACGCGGAATGCGAGCTGGCAGCGAAAAAGACGGAGGTAAATGTTCTGTATTTTGGTCACGCCCCTTTGAAAGAAGGACGTCATGCCTGGTGTTGTACGGTTGCGGTACAAAGTTATTGCGGTAGTACCAGATACCTCCTAGAGTTCGGTTGAGTGCAAGAAGCGGAGGCTAGGTTTCGGGAGGCACAACAAGCAGTGCGACAAGTCGACAAGGCTACGCTGAAACATGTAGCAGGGTGATGATATCTAGACGAGAAAAACGCGGAGGGTGGGAGAATACATGCGTTCCTTGAGGCTGCTCTTTGCGGCGTCGTTGTTGTTTTCTGAAGTGGAGCGCCGCAACGAGATGCCACTAAATGATTTGAGGAGAGAAGGTACTGTAGTCGTAGTCTGCTTGTATCTGACCGCCTTCAACCCCCTTCCGGACAGAATCCCCTAAGCACGTTGGCGTAGGAAAAATCTAACCTGTGTCCATAGCTTTGGTGTTGTGATGCGCGAGCATCCACATCATCCCGCCGGAACTGCTACAGTTTGGGACACAAAGCACAAGTCGTTCTACTGAAGGCCGGCAAACGTGTCACAAAGTTGTAAATTTTGGTCCCATATCGGGTCGAGTCGAGGGAAGGAGGTCCCTTCCAAGGCGCCATGACCCAACACCACGGCGTGTACCACGCGTGTACCTGAGCATGCTCACGCCTCCTCGCCTCACCTCGCCTCGCCTCGCCTCGCCTTGTCATGCCAAACCTGTCCCAAACTGGCGTTCTGCTCCACTACAGGAGATGCAAAGGAAGATTGCTTCTCTGGAAACCGTGCTTGACAGAAAACAAACGCAGCAGCACCAGCAGCACCAACCACATCGAGAACTCCAACAACCTCCACTTCGAGAAACGCTCTATTTCGCGGAGCGCCCGCACGGCAACGAGGGCGACGCCAGCAAAAAGGATAGCAGCAGCAGGAGCGGCGGCAATAGGGCCAGGAGGAGGTACTCCTCTGCAGGACCATCACCCCTCACCAGCGTTAGAGAAGCGGGGAGACGACGAACGTTCGGCTCTCCCGCCGAGGCCGAGGCTGCTGCCGCGGCTGCTGCCGCTGCGGCGGCGGCGGCGGTGTGGGACTGCTATGGTGGCCCTGATTCCCTCGACGATGCCCAGACGAACGTCCCCGCAGGAGAAGAAGATGATGATGATGAGTCGTTCGAGTCTCTGCCAGAAGGAGAACCGGAAGAGAGAGCCTCTCCTTGGTCCCCGGGTAGACGGGTGTCCGCTTGGGAATCACGGGGGCGACGCGGGGGAGCGGGGCCCGTGATCGCGGCTAGGTACTCGGCTTCGGGCGGAGCCCCCAGGATATCGGCAACAACACCACCGCGGCTATCTCCTTCCGGCCGGTTGTTGCCCTCGTCTTTTCATTCTCCACAGCTGGGCAACTTTTCGACAGAGCCTTCCTTTTCCGACGGCGGCGACAGGGAAGACAAAAGGCATCATTTTCTGTCGACCACTTTTCCCCCTTCCGCGGCGGGAAGAAAGAGGAGAGGCGGTGGCAGCTCCAGGCGCGGTAGTAGTTGGTACTCCTTCTCTGGTCCCTCGGCACGAGAGGGGTATGAAGGGGAGGTTGCAAGAAACGGTCTTTCTTCGAGGAGCGGAGCAAGGAGGCGTGTTTCGGCAGAGGTAGTGGTGGCTGCAGGTGGGGGAGGGGACAGCAGGTTGTCGTTCCCTCCTGGAAGCCAAAGACGGAGGGTCCGTGCGCCGGGGAACGCGGAAAGGTTCACCCAGGCCCCTAGCCAGGTGGACATCGATCGTGTTCTGAGGTCAGACAGGAGAGCAAAGTGCTGCAGTGTGGTTGTATTTGTGTACAGCTAACCTCCGTTGTGATTTTGCTTTGAGCATGGTTCAGTTATTTCCCTCGTTGCTGCTGTGGGATCGATGGCGTACGAATGCTATGTTCCTCTCAGAAAGTTGTGCATTCTACGCACGACGCACGCTGCCCTCGCAATCGTAATGAACCTGTTGCTCTTGATCGCGCAGCACGTCAGCGTTGCCTCCACGTTACGGTGATGCACACAGAGCAGCCACGTCGAGACCTTTCAGTTGCAAAACCGACCTTTCGTGCTCAATCTTCCTGTCTCACAGAGCGAAACATGTTGATGTGTGGCTAATATTCATCTTTTTTGTCCCACCTCCCTTGCATGCGTCCATTGCCTGCTTCTATGCGTGTTTCTTTGTGTTGGCTTGAAACACACGCACTTGAATAAAACCACACCACACGCCATAGGCGAGCGAGCCAATCCCTCCAGCCACGAGACAACGACAGCGACACCCGCCGTGACGAGGCCGTTCCCCCCGTGTCGACGGAATCAGTGGTGTCGAACGATGCCGTGGGCGACGTCAAAAACGGCGAGAACATCAAGCTCGAGGGTCGAGATCTTGAGAGAAACACAACGGACGCACGACGTCACGGAGGCAACAATGAAGACGAAAATAACACAGTAGAGATCCACGTCCTACCCCCGCCCCACCCGCCAGAAAGCTTCGAAGAATCGGGGGGGGGGAGTTGGCGAGGGCTCCTGAGGGCCGCCTTGCGCATTAAGGAGCAACACGCGAACGTCAACGGTGGTAGTCGTGCCGGTGGGGATAGCCAACGGAACGAGGGTAGACAAGGCCAACATCCGGGTACTGACGCCAACGGAACCAGCGGGGGAAATGGGCAGGTTGGCCGACAAACGGGAGGAGGCGACGAGTTAGAGTCTGACGGCGGCAGCGGCGGCGGTGGCGAGAACAAGATGGACCCTGCAAATCTCGATTCCCCCCAGAAGGTTGCGAAGGAAAGCCCTCCGAACTTAGAGTCGAGTGAACAGAACGCAGGTAACGGTACACCGGCTTCTCTGGAGAACGAGGAAGAGGCGTTGTCTGTGCAACTGCAGCGCTATCCTCCTCAGGAATTTTGGGACTCCGCGAAGGGGGCTGGGTTGTCCACCGCAGAGTTGGAGGGGGTGATTGACGGGCTGACAGAGGAGGAGGCGGAACGCTTGCTACGGGAGGAGGGGATGGTGGACTCAAACGGAAACCTCAGGCGTGAAAACACGAGTTAGCTACGCGTGTTCGTAGTTTGTTGTCCAGCATGTCGTTGGACGTTGTAAGTTGTATGTCCCAAGCGCCAAAAAACGCTTCAGGGGGTTGCTGGGTTGAGGATGACACTAATTTGTCTTATTCCCGGGACATCGTGAATCTGTATGACAAGGGAATGTACCAAGAAATATCTTGATATTTTTCAACAGAGTGTGGGACGACCTCGATTGCACACACCCGCCGTTTCTACGCGTACGCGTGCAGACCGTCCATCTTCAGGAGAACGTATGTATCTAGTCTGCATATGTCACGTTGACCTGACCTAGTCAGCGAGCACGCGGCTTGTAGCAGTTTTCTCGGGAGGTGGGGCACGGTGTTTCTTCCGTTGAGCGTACAGTTTAGCCGCGTGGTACCCACGAGGTATGTATCGATGAAGGCGAAAACAGCCACAACAGGGTAGACTATACCCTGTGGTCAAAGAAGAGACTCGGCTGTCGGCACGTGGTTTTCATGAGCGTCAAATGAGGGTTGTTGTTGTTGACTTCACATTAAACCGTATGCCAGTTGCTAAATGCCAAAATCTAGCAAAGACTCTCAGCCCGTGGTCACGAAAGTGCTAGAGCCATCTGAGGATCTAAAGAACACGCACACGTAGCAAGAAAAAGGTATCCAAGAGCCCGAAGAGGTACTACTACACCTATATATAATCCCTGCAGCACCGTACGCGTGCCCAAAACTGAACTACACGTCCGTCTCACCGTTCGACTACAG